ACACACACACACACACACACACACAGTAATTACACATGATCCTCCAAGCAATATTTGATCCACTAAGCAAAGATTTTCAACCTAATAATTGATGGTTGATGTCTGAATCAGTTTGTAACCACAACTGAACTTTAACAACTACAGCGGGTAAAATAAGTATTGAACATGTCAACATTTTTCTCAGTAAATATATTACTAGAGGTGCTAATGACGTGAAATTTTCACCAGATGTTGGTAACAATCCAAGTGATCCATACATACAAAGAAATCAAACCATAAATGTCCAGAAATGAAGTTATTTGTAATAATGTGGAATGACTTTATGTATCTGTGAAACAGCTCCTCTGTTTCTGCTCCACATAAACAGGTGAGCTCACCAGCTCTCCTCACCTCCCCAAGCAGGACACATCCACCCATATCAGGATGGTTGAAAATACTTTTTTTTTTCTTTTTTAAATTTTTACAGATGGCAGAAATCCATCTTGCTGATGGAGAGTTTTAATCCTTGTCTGTTTTACTGGTTATTGTGTCCAGCTTTTGTAAATATCGCTGTTTATAGGTGTGCTACTTCCACAAACAAATTATCTCGACTTGAACAAGTAGAAGTCATGGCCATTGGTAAAATAGTTTGGGAAAACAATCGCTTTGTTCGATACTCCCCTCCCTTATTTCTGATGCCCATCATGAAGCCTCCATGCGATTAGTATTGCAAAGGGTCAATATTAGAAACATAAAAGAATAAAGTTATAAACTTTTATTTGGAAAAGAAAATAAATGAAGAATCTAGTTATGCAGAGACTTGTTTTGGTGATTTTTATGTACAAACAATAAACTGATATTTTCACAGCCTGTGAGCGGACAAGGTCATGGGCTCCCCCTGGGGGTACGCCCCCCCCCAGGTTGTAAACCACTGATCTAAAGGATGTACAGTTCAGGGCGGTAATGATCCCTCTGGTTATACAACTCTCTACTTACACCTGTGGTCTACTCTTCATGAATAAAAGAGTCTTTTTGAGACAAAAGCCAAGTTTTATGTTTTTCTTTGTGCCAAGGAGACCCTTGCTAATGTTTATGGAATAACACCAAGACATGCGTCAGCCCAGCAGCCAGGACACATTCATGCTGGACTTGTGAACATACAAATGTTTATAACCCAAATAAGGAGGTGGAGCTAAGAGTACTTATTCAGGTAAAAAAGAAAGAAAAAGGCACTTTTATCCTGGCAGGGTCCTGATCGCTCACCTCTGAAGCTTCAGCTCAGGTAAAGTAGAGTGCAGTTAGGATTTGAGGATAGTTGTTATTAATCAGCTACAAAACAAAGTATTTCCTAGTTTAGTTTCATTTTATAATAATAAGATTGTTTGAGTTTGAACTCTTGTTTGCTTGCGATGGTTGATGGCAACTGGTTCATGTAAAAATCAATTGTATTTTTTGTGTAGACACAAAAAATAAAAAAATACCAATGAACTGTCACTTTAGAAAAATATTATGTGAAGAAAAAACTAATTGGAATATGATTATGATATTGTTGGGTCAAGTTTTAGCTTGTTTCAGCAACATTGACATAATTTCAGTTGGTAGCACTGTCGCCCCACAGCAAGAAGGTCCTGGGTTTGATCCCGGTTCAGACCTGTGGTCTTTCTGTGTGGAGTTTGCATGTTCTCCTCGTGCTTGTGTGGGTTTTCTCCACAGAATAAAAACATGTATAATAGGTTCCCTTCAGGCCCAGGCCGCCCTTCTGTGATCTCAGTGGGATTTGCCTGGTTAAACGATGGTAAAATAAATATTTTCAAACCCAAGACAAAAGGTTGCTTTCTGTCGCACAGAGAAATAACCGTTGTGTGAGGTGTTGGACACACGGCATTAAAAGGACAAAAGGACTTCTCGACCTTGACTTGTTTACTGTTACCTGATAGAGACACTGAGGAGAACTCTGACAAAGGTCATAAAGTGACAAAACTAGTCATGTCTTTGCTGCTTAGTTTCTGAAAAACTTGTGTGAATTATTACCACCCTATTTTTAATTATTTTAGGCTACAGGGCACTACATAAAGAAGAACACTAATCTTCTAAATAGCTCAAACAAATTTTAGGTTTTGTTTACATTTTTGCTTGGTTTGGTTTGAGGAGCAGGTGTGGTCGTTTGAAATATTGCTGTGCATTGTACTAAAAAACAAGGTTAAATACAGAAACAGGTAGTAAACAGAAGAAAATGTTTGACGTAAAAAAAATAAGAAAAAGTTGGCAAACATTTCAAGGTCACCTCTAAGGGACATTTTAAAGGTGAACTGTGTGAGCATTGACCCAGAGGCCCTTTGTCTCATTGGTTTTTTATTTACTTTATCAAAGAATAGAAGCTTTTAAAATAAGTAGAACTCAAGTGAAAGTTTAAAAACGCAGAAAGTCAATTTAAAATAAATCTGTAACTTAGTTGTGCATAAATATTTTTGATTGATTGATTGATTGATTGATTGATTGATTGATTGATTGATTGATTGATTGAACAGAGCACAATGAAATTACATTTAAGAACACCCATTCAAGAGACAAGTATAAAATTACAAAAATAACTTTTTTCATATTATTTGTTAAGATTAACAAGAGAATCAATTCTATAGCCATGTTTTTATTTAAAATGCACCAAAATATTTTTTTAATGTTCTAAAAGGCCCCAACAATTTTTTTCATTTAGTCTTTTTTATAACCATGCACTTGGTTGATCATTCACAAGAAGTTCAAGTACACATAAGACAATGGTTCTTTCTTAAATAATGTAAATTGTATTTACAGTAAACACAGATAGTATACAGTACCACCATGTAACCATTCTTGCTGTACCTTCTGCCTCTGTGTGCTTCAGTTGAAATGAACATAAAACATATTTTGGTTTACAAAGCTGGTGACTGCCAGGGATTGATACTTAATTTTAATGGATCAGTTATTAAATTAAAAAAAGTATTTAAAAATATACAGTGGATTATGACTGTTTTGATTTATTAGAAATGACTAAAACAAATTACATCCCTGAGATACTGTTTTAGTTTTATTATGTTCAAACTTTATAACCAGTTATGAAAAATCCATCTAATTTAATGAAAAACTTCCTGTGAAGCACATGACGGTCTTTACCCGGGTGCAACCTGAGAGAAAGCTGCCTACAGACCTGCTGAGTTTTGACCCATCACAAAAAGTGAGTCGCTGTTTACTCTACAAATATCCCAGAATGCACCCCTGCTGACAAGACACTGACCTCTCTCACCACAAGGACGTTCTTCCAGAAGAGAGGGCAAAGTGTACACGGTGATGCAGATATTCATGTGTCACAGAGATGAGAAAAAATGTCTCACAGCACCGTTATTTCTTTATGTTTTTCTTTAGCTGACTCAGTCTATCGAAGATGGGCCGCCTCGCTCTTCTGGTTTTTCTAACAGGTAACAAATATTCAAAGGGGTAACACCACAGAATGATTATGAGGACAAAAAAAGAACTAGTCTGTCATTTATTATTATTATTATTATTATTATAGATAAAATGTTTGCTTTTTTTGCAGCGCTGTTCTCCCTTTTTATGGAAACTGAAGCGAGTAAGGCTGAACTTCTTATGTCTAAATGAGAAAGGTTTAGTGTGGCTTGGGAAGAAACACAATTTTATTAAAAATAAAAACTGCATTATTTAGAGGAAATAAAACATTTTGTTTATTGTAAAACGTTTTGCAGACAAATATATGTTGTACAAAATCACACCTTTTCATTTTGGCATTAGTATTCTCACACATTTGCTCTTTATGTGATAATTGTTTTCTATTAATTTGATTTTGTATAAATAAACTAAATTTTTTTTATCTTTTTTTCCCTGCAAATCTCCATCTTGTCACATCCCAGATCCATTTGTTTACAGTAAGTGCGGATGCTCATTCTTTTTTTCAAACATTGTTTCATTTTAACCAATAATCCTTTTCATTTGTATGAAATAAACATACTGTAGAATATAATTATTCGTATTTGTTAAATAACTTTTGTTTTGTCTAACAGACTATGAAAGGCTAAGAATTGGTGGTCTCATTATTGTCGGCATGCTGATCATTGGCGGCATCTTCCTCTTATTCTGTAAGTGCTGCAAGAAGTATTAAAAGAGAAATTACACAGAATTTGTATTTACAATGCAACAATTCAGCCAAAAGTTCAGCTCACATACATGTAAGAAGAACGTTGTGTAAAATGTTTTGGCACAATTTATTACCAGCATTTGCAGCACGGCGCCTAAGGCTTTATAGGGATAGGCATGTTGTTGTTCAAAGGAAAGTTTTGTAAAAACTAAAGTGTTAAAGTAGAAAGCTTTTTGTAATCTCAAATATCTCTCAGCCAATGAAGGTAATGAAATCAGTGAAGGTAAAAACAATGGTGGCAAAGAGCAAAGTAATGGTAAAAGCCAGGCTGAAATGTTTACGCTTTTCCACATTTTGTTGCATTTGAAGTATTTTCGGGGATTTCATGTAACAGACCAACATAAAATAGAGCATAACTATGAAGTGGAAAGAAAGTTATGTTTATTTATTTATTTATTTTAACAAATAAAAATCTGAAAAGTGTCCATTTCAGTTTACACCTTTCATCTAACTAAAACCCAAAGCAACTACTGGCTTTTAGAAGTCACCTCATTGGTAAAAGTCCAGCTGCGTGTAATTTCATCTCAGCACAAATCCAGATGTTTTGTGAGTCTCAGAGGTTTGGTACAGAACATTAGTGATCAAAAAAGCATCGTGAAGACCAAGGAACACACCAAACAGACTTCCCAACTTAGAATATGTGCGCAACTGCTCTTCACAGATGCTTTTCGTCCAATCTGACTGAGCTACAGCTGGTTTACAAAGAATAAGCAAAGAAAATGATGTCTCTAGATGAATAAAACTGGTCGAGACACTCGTAAACCTGTAAAAACTTGCACATGTAACTGCAACAACAGCCTTTACACAGGGGGACTCGTGTACCCTACACTTTTCTGATTGTTCTTTGTAAGAACATAATTTAAAAACCATTTTGCATTAGCCTATCACAGAAAACCCCAGCACAACACTATGTCTAAGGTTGTAAAATGACAACAAATGAAAAGTGAAACCCAGTTCCAAACCCAGCCTTAAACTCTGAAACTCTGACCCCAACTTGGCCCTATAAGAACACATACATGTGTAACAAATAACTACAAAGTGAGAACAGCATGAATCAACCAAACGAAATTAAAATCAGCCAAATGATAGGAACACATGGAATAAAAAGGCCATTGGCTGATGTAAAAACCAGTGACATTAGAGAGGTATGACTGGGAGAGGTCAAAAGGAATTCAGTTAAATATGAGCAACATTTACAGCTGCCAAAACCCTGAAGTTGAACCAGTATGTCAGTGGTTGTGCCACTGATGTTTTGATCTTAAATCTTTTTAATAAATGAACGAAACACCAAACACTGTCGAGTCATTTTTATTACAGTCACCTTTTTTAATCACTCTGCTGGGAATCACACAGCAGGACTGACTATTTCTTTCTTCTTTTTTTGTCATTGTAGATAAAGATTGCGCCAAGAAATTCAGGTAAGACGCACACTTACAGCCTGACTGAATTTAAACTTACGCCCACTTCTACTGCCTCCCTATTCACTTTGCCCCCTCTCCCCCTCCCGAATTGTCCTGTCACTTGCTGCCCCTCCCTTCTTTCTTACCTTGTAGAAAACACGATAGCAGTGAAATCTGAGCCGGCTCCTGACAAACCAGTTTCTGTCAGGAAGAAGAGCTGACAAAGGGTGGAGCGATTAGGTGCATGATGGGAGGTTTGGGAGGAAGCACACCTGCTCAAAGATTAGGCTACACCTGTACAGGCCAAAGAAATGCAAACATCTCCCATTTTTCTACAAAAGGCTGCTAAAATTGAAGAATTAGAGAACCGTCTTGTAATTTGGTGAATTAAGCAGTGAGAAAAAAATGTCTTTGTGGTGTTTTTTTGTTTCCAAAGTGCATTTAATGCAACTAGATGGATCTACTCTATGTCAGGGTAATTTATATCGTCTAATGCCCGATAAAACGAAAGGGCTGCACAGCATGTTTAGTCTTTCTAAAGGTTTAAATTTTAACATGTTGTGTACTGAACCTACATTTTATTTCCAACAAAATGCAGTTAATCCTAAACATCGCTCCCTGTTGTTCATTGAATGATTTGCTGTGTGGTTAATAATAAATCTATTTAGTTGTAGGTCAACTGTTGAATTACGTAAAATTATAGAATAAAAATAAGCCAACCACTGATGTATATGTCAAAAAATAAATGACACTATACTTAATGTTTGCATCTGTGTCACACAGTGTTGTTTTTAAGGGACATACATCTGAACAAACTTTTTTTTTCATTACAGTAACTTAGAGTTTATATTACACATCATTTAGTAACTCATTGAAGCTATAGCCCAGCGTAAAAAGAAATTAATTTGCCAAGTATATTAAAGTTTAACATGTGTAATGTACTCAGAATCAATAGCATACAATTGTTTAAGATGAAGTAAACAAAATGTGCTATTTCTGTAACTTATTAAGTGCATTTTAGTTCAACATGAATTGAATTAAAACCTGGTTTTAGGAATATTTAATGTGTATTTGTATATTGGAGTACAACAAATTCAAGTACACAAACTATACTTACAAGTACATGTCAACATTTATTATGGTGTACATTTTTAGGACATCCTCTGACATCAGATCAAACAGCCTCAGATGTCAGGAAAAATGTAAACGATTCCATTTGCAGATGGCAGTTGTGACTTCAGCTACAATTCATCAAGACAGAGACTGTAATTCAGCAAAAAAAAAGTTAAATAAAAACACATTAAAATTAAATGGCTGAATTTCCCCCAAAAGACAATGAGGGTTAAAAACATAAATCTAAAAGAAATTATACAACATTTCATATTTCCTGCAGATCCTCCCAGTTTCCCTGAAGACTCACCTTGTCATAAACCACTTATGAGTGTTGGGTCTCACACTTTTCAGTCTTACTACTCTGGGTATTACACAACTATTTGAAAAATGACAAAAGATCAACCCAGATGGTCAAAAAAGGTGTCAATCAAGACGAGGGTCTGTGCAACTACTTTGAAACCCTGGTATTTAAATTAGAAATGTAGCAAGCAGAACTCCCTCCAGATCAAGGTTGAAGAAAAAAAATCAAGGAACTGGGCACAAAACATCCTCCACTGGAACCACTGAACTTCAAAAGGTATGAGCATTGAGGCTGTGGATAACTACAGGTCTCTTGGGGTTCATCTGAACAATAAACTGAACTGGACTAATAACACAAAAGCAGACCACAAAAACGGGTGGAGCCGGCTGGACCTGCTGTAGAGTGACGGGAACGGTGGCTTAGTTATCATCCCTGTTGGACATCTACCACCCAAAGCAACGAACTCTGACGGCACTGAGCAGATTTTGCCAATCACCTATATACTGTATGTATGTGTATGTGTATATATATATATATAACCCACTTGGTATAGTTTCCAAGAACAGAACAGAAAACTACACCTCAGAGAGGGAAATTAGAATTCAGCAGAATTGCGT